GTACGCCTGCGGTGGGTACGACTGCGGTGGGTACGCCTGCGGTGGGTAGGACTGTGGCGGTGGTGGATAGTACATTGGCTGAGCGGGTGAAGCGGGCGGGGCGAGGGGGTAATACATGGGCTGCTGTTGGGGATAGCCAGGCGCCGGTGGGGGTGGCTGCGACTGCGCTAAAACCACGGCAGGAACGACAGCAGGGCCAATGTTTGGATTCAACGGTGTGTTGTTCACGTTGCTGGAAATTGTCACAGGGGCGGCCACAAACGGCGGCTTCTTGCCGGCTCCCAGCGCCGGGTCATCGGCAATGTCCTCGGTGACCTTCCACGCGTCACTCGGTTTTGGGTTGCTGCCAAAGTCGCACGCCAAGGTACGCAAGTGCAACTCCGCGTTTGTCTTGGAGTGGTCCAGCAGGTACCAGTCGTCATGCACCACGCCCCGTGTCATGTTGCTCAACGACAGACGGTACGTTCCCATAAGGTCATCGGTGATGATATTTTCATTCCACAGCTCCACACACAACTGTGCTGTCGCCTCATCGGCCACCTGAAAACGAAATGTTTCGTTCCAGACAGGGTTGAGGGAGTCCTTGACGACCTTCGTCTTGTATCTGTAGTCCCCGAGACGCACACGGCAGTATGGGTCAGGCATGCCAATGACTTGACTGTCGTGCAGGTTACGAGCACCACAAATACACACCTGCAACTTCCCCATCGGCGTAGAGGTGTAACTATATGCGTGCGGTTTATGCCTGTTTAGTCCCAGTGCTGTGCGGCCCCTTTACTCACGAGACGTGCACCACTTTTTAATTCTTATCAATGTCTGCTGCCTTCCTCACCTTGACGCAACTAAAGACAGACATGAGGGGGGCCACCAACCAAAACAAAAAAAAAATGAAGAGCTCTCCATGCAAAGTCATCCACCTTCACTGCGCTGCAGCCGCAGCCCACACCTCCCTCCCCCCTCTTCTGTGAAGAGGGTTGCCATTCACTGTCCACGACGAACATGTCAACCACAACGCCGCTACGGTCCCCACAGCACGGCCGGCTCCTGTAGAAGTGCCTTTTGCGGCGAGAGACGCCGCACTGCGTGGGCGGGGTCGGCATGCACCAACGCCACACGGACCCGGAGGGCAAACTCAACGGAATACGAAGACGCACTCATAAGCCGCACGCATCGTTCTACAACGCCCTCACCTCTCTCATGCGGGACACGAAACTGATACTTCGCAAGGCAGTCATCGGAGGTCGCCGAGTAACGCCAGAGTTCCAACGTAACCATCGGGATGCCAGCCCACGGCGGTGCAGGCGCCACGGCGGCCATGCCAGTGTCACCAGAGAGGCTGTCATTGGTTGTGTGCAGCTGGTGGCGCCGCAACGACAATGGATAGGGCAGCGTGCCACGCAGCGGTGGATCACCGGCGAGGTGCGGCGTCCCCGGCAGCATTGCGGCACTGCCAGCAGCTACGCGAACGGCGGGTGGAGACGTTAGGCGAAAGTGAAAGACTTCGTTCCACGCCTTGTGGCCGCCCTCCGCAAGGGCCGCCGTGCGTTGCGCCTCGTCGCCCACACGCATCACAACGTAGAGACCGTCGTACCTGAAGTCCCCTGCATCCTCCGAGAGGATGTTGAGGTGTTGAATGCGGATCTTTATCATCCTAGCAGGGGCATCAACCTTCGCGCCGCAAGAAGAGCGGTCACCGATAAAACAAACAGGCAAAGGAAAATAAAATAAGAGGGAAATATACCACAAGCAGGAAGAGAAGAAAAACACCATCTGTCTACGTCTCGCCCCACCGCTCACACCACGCGTGTGGGGAAGGGGAAGTGGGCATATTCGGTAGTTGCTGCAATCAACAAAGTCTTGTTACGTTTCATTCTTTGTGCGGGTTGCCTCTTTGAGTTAGTAGCAACCACGCGTGAGTGCGTCTGCCGAAGTATTACGAAAAAAACACCTGCCGTCGCCCTCGTCGTTGCGTTTTTTTTTTCGCCCTCTCCTTCGTTTTCTCCACCGCAACCCCGGCTCTGCAGCAGAACGTGGCACTCAGCGGGGTCGCCTGCGACACTCAGCAGAGCAGCAGCGTCCGGCGACTCTACAAGCGAGGCATCCAAGGGTGTTTGTATAGATAGATAGATATGCAAATATAGACTTGTATGCACTTGCACCTGGCATACACATACGCGGTTAGCAATCCGTCCGTTCACTCCATTGACGGTCGTGAGGTGCACATGTACGGGATGAGGTGCAGGAAGATGTGTTGTGTTACATGCCGCCGAGTCCCAACCCGGCTCTGCAGAACCCCTCCCCAGACCTCTTCTTGCGGTCCGAAAGCCGGGGCCGCCGCACCCCGAGGTAGCCCACCACATCGTCGTACGTAAGCACCTCCTTCTCAAGCAGGTGCTTGGCAAGAATCTCCATCTCCGCCTTCTTGGAGAACAGGAGTTGGTACGTAGAGTCGTACACCTCATCCACAAACTTTTTGGCCTCGACGTCCAATTCGTTTGAAACCTTTGGACCAAACGGCTTTACGTAGCGCGTGCCTTCCGTCCCGGGTGCCGGGTACACAGGCTGCTGCGCAAAGGAGCTCACGTACTGGTACGCCATGGAGGCCACTTTTCGAAGATCGTCAGAGGCGCCCGTGGAGAGATGGTTAAAGAAAATCTTCTCCGCCACACGACCACCAAGCGTCACGCTGATTGAGTCGCGAATCTCCGTCGCCGTGCGCATGCGGTTTTCGTTCGGCAGGTATTGCGCGTAGCCGAGGGCGGAGCCGCCGCGTGGAACGATGGAGACTTTCATGAGCGGGTCTGCACGGTGGAGGAACCACCCCGCCACTGCGTGCCCCGCCTCGTGGTGGGCAACGACGTTCCGCTCGAATGGCGTGAGCACGCGGCTGCGGTGCTCAATGCCGGCGAGTACGCGGTCAATGGAACGCTCAAGATGGGTGATGTCAACGTACTTGCACCCCTCGCGGGCGGCGAGAATTGCCCCCTCGTTGCAGACGTTGGCAATATCAGCCCCAACAAAGCCGGGGCAAAGACCACACAAACGCTCCGCATAGACGCTGATGAGAGCGCGCTCCGCCTCGCTCTTCTTCGCCAATAGAGAACGGAAATCAAACGAGGCGTGACCAAAAGCTCTCTCTTCCTCTTCCAGCCTCTGCTTCTCCTCATCCAACTCGTCCTGAAGCGTACTGACGATAAGCGCCGACTCCTTCGCCGTTGAAGATGCCGTCGTCGCCTTGGATGCGTCGCGGCCGCCACCCGCAGTGCCCGCCGCGTGGCCCACCGCGGCGCTTCCCTCCTCCTGCGGTACATGCCGTTCCGCTGGCTGCTCCTCACTCCCCGCCGCCGCCGCCGTTGTTGTCGTCGTCTCAGGTGCTATTGCGGCGGTGTCACTCCCCGCCGCCGTTTCCTCCGTCTCCTGCCGGAGCTTCAGGGCGCTGAGGTGCACCTTGAAAATGTCAATCCGCTCCGAAATGACGGGCATGTCGACGTGAATGATGCGATCAAACCTACCGGGGCGGATCAGCGCGGGGTCGAGCATCTCCTGCGCCACGTTGCTGGACGCAAGAATCATCACGTCACCCCGTTTTCCCGAGCCAAAGCCGTCGAGCTGAGTCAAGAGCTCATTCAGCGTGTGCTCTTGCTCCTGCTTCTCGCCGTGTCCTGTCCCGCTCCGCTTAAGCCCGATGGCGTCAATCTCGTCAATGTACACCACGCAGCGCTGCTTTTTCGCTGTCTCAAAGAGCTGTCGCACGCGCAGGGCGCCCATGCCAACGTAGAGCTCGACAAAGTCGGACCCGCAGACCGGGATAAAACCCACCCCACTCTCCCCCGCGACTGCCTTGGCGAGGAGGGTCTTTCCCGTGCCTGGTGGGCCGAGCAGGAGGGCGCCGGTTGGTATCTTCGCCCCCAGCGCGGTGTAGCGCTCGGGTTGCCGCAGAAAATCAACCACCTCTGTGACCTCCTTCTTCGCCTCCTTCATCCCTGCAATGTCGTGAAAGCGTGTGTTGGAGGTGCGCTCCACAGAAAACACCATGTCCTTCACCTTTTGTGACCGCTTCCCTGCCTCCATAGTGGCCGCCAGTGACTTGCCAATCGAGTTGGAGAGAATCATGACAAAGACTGGGAAAAATACAAACGGAATCACCCATGCAAAGACGCCCAGGCCCACAAGGGCCTGCTCCGCCAGCGGTGTTCCCTGAATAGCAACGGCAAACTCCGTGGGCGTCGCTGCTTCCTTGGGCTCCTTCTGCGTCTGCTGCTTCTTCACCTTGGCGGCGATGCAGGCTTCCCGCAACCTCTCCAGCTTTTGTTGCGTGTGTTGGTCGTCCACCAGGCCAAGGAACACCTTTGCCTCCTTCATGTACACCTGCGCATAGTTCTGGTAGAGGTGAATGCTCTCCACGACGTCAGCGTGCTTCATCAGTGAGGCCCACCCCGTGCGCTTCCCTGAAGGCTGTGCAAGACGGTAGAGCAAGTACGAAAGCAGGAACATGACCAGCACAAAAAGGACGGAGCGCTCCACCAATGAATCCTCGTTGCCGTCCCCATCGGCTGGAATGGCGGAGCCGTCAGACTCCTCCTCGGAATTATTTTTGCCGTCCCCGCCCTTCGGCCCGCCGCCGCTGCCCGGCTGCGCAGATCGGAGCACATGTGGGGCGGTGACAGCGACCCCGCCGCGCGTGCCACGTAAACTCCGCCAGCCCCGCCTTATGTCACCGCATGACGGAAGAAGTGACAACATCCACTGAACGCCCTTGTGGGAAACAAGAAAACGGCTGATGCGTCTCCGCTCCCGCCTATCGGGGTGCAACAGAGCCGAGCCCGCAAAGTCCCGCATGGAAACCGCCATGGATGCAGGCAGCGCGGCACACGGTCGCCACGCTCCCTGCTGGCACCCGCACAGACGCTGGCGCATGCCCAAGCCATGGTACACGGAGAGTCGCCGGGGCAACATGGACTCGATGCGCCGCAAAAGATGAAAAAGGGAACCCCACAACAATTCACCCTCTTTGCGTGCAGAAGGCACACATAAACAACAAAAAATTAAAAATAAAAATAAAGACAAACAGCACGTTATGCAACCAGAAAGAGCGCAGCATCACTCCGCCAGATATATACCTATGCACACAATTTTCATTATTATTATTATTCGTCACCATCATCGGAACTCATTATTTTGTTGGTGTTGTTTTTTTGCCTCGTCAAGCAGCGCTGCGGCCCGCACAAGCCATGCCCGTCAGTCCCACATGAGTCACTGTAGGGAAACGCCCAGCACACCCAAACATACACTCAGCATGTTACTCCTGCACCACCAGCAGAGTACTCCAAACGTCAAAAGTTCCCCGCCCCCCAAAAGACGCCTATAAAAAAAAAAAAAGAGTGGCGGCAAATCTCCTTCAATTGCTGGAAGTAATGTGACAAATTCCACTGGGGCAACGCAACAACACCCACGCATCCAAAAACACTTTGAAAGCACTTCAGTAGAATTGCTCCCCCGTTGCAACTTCTATGCGTCGTCTCGCACGTCAAACGCGGGGGTGTCTTGTATGGGGCCAAATAAATCTTGAGTCCGCCATACCAGGGGAATCGGGAGACCAGAGACGTCGTTTGGCGTCCCTCGCTCCATGCGCAGCAGATCAATATTGTAGAGCATCGGCCTCATCGCTTCACCGTCCTCTGCACCGTTGACAGACGCCTCATTGTCAAAGGCGTGGCGGCTTGACCGAGACAGATCCACGGAGCAGTGGCCCATGGCGCCGTGAGTCTCATCCACGCCAGGGAACTGCGGAAGTGAACCACTCCTTGAGACATCCAAATAGCGCGGGGCGGCACATGCTGAGGAAGCTCTAAAAAACAGGGAATGCTCACTGCACTGTAGAGGCACATCCTGCCGCAGCTGTTGGGATGCGGCCGTTGTTCCATCCATCGAACCTCCACAGTGGTGGAAATGGCCTACAAGCGCAGGCGCAAACACCACTCTCCCTGCCGCAGGCAGCGCAGAGGATCGTGCAGACGTGGCCCTCTCTGCGGGTGCGGTGACTCCTCCTGCGGCAGCTACGTGAGTAGCGGATGGTACAGACGGCAGTTGTGATGCCAGTTGAAATTCCGCAGGTGTTGCGACCCCATAGACCGCATACACAACGGCAAGAAGAAACGCCGCATTCAACTGAACATACCGCCGCATCGTGACCTCCGTCACCGTCGCCGTCTGCAGCATGAGTCTTTCAAACGACTGAGTGAAGGCGGTAGTCTTCGCCTCATACGACTTCAGCTTCTCCTCACAGAGGTTTACCTTCTTTTGGTACGTTTTGCTTTCGGTGAGGCACTTATAACGCTTGGCGCACCTCCGCTCCTTCGCCGCCACTTCCCTCCGCAGAGATTCGTACTTCTTCAGTGCGTCGTCGCGCTGACGTGCGCGAAACTCCGCGGCCGTAAGCCACACACGTAGTTGCTTCACAGGTTTCACTACGCCCTCGTGCACACACTTGTTGTACTGCAAGAACAATGGCCCATCCTTCAACTCCCGCATCTCCGCCACAAAGCGCTGCATCATCGCCTTGGTACCATCGCCGCAAAAACTCAGAAATGTTAGTCCGTGGAACGCCACACTCACCTCCTCCAGCGCATCCCGAATTTCCTTCATCACCGCCATGGTGTGTTGTATTGCCTTCTCAAACCGCTGCAGTGACTTGTGAAGGAGGGTCATGTCCTTGCGCTTTGTGGGATACGCCAGATCCTGCTGCATCGGCGGCAGTCCACAGTAACAGGCAAAGCAAAAGATAGACAGATGGCAAGCCCCCGCCTACCCGACACGCATACGCAAAAACAAAGAAGAAAAAGTGGGGGCAGAAGCAGGCACGCACATCTCTTTCCATTCCAAAGGACCGGAAGATAAATTCGTTCCACAAATTGCCATGCAGAGCCTTAGGCTCGCTTATTGCAAGCAGGTTTATAGCACTGAAGCACACAAAAACGCATTTGTTCAAAGGGTGAAAGAGAGCAAAAAACAAAAACAAAAAGAAACCCAAATAACTATAAGAAATCTAACACTTAAAGCCCTTTGAGTTCCGACCATCCGACTCACTGCCATCACCACAGCAGTGCGAGAAATTTACCTTGGACGCCTTCTTCTTCCGAGGTTGTGGAGTTTGTTTTAAAGCCGGGGCTGTTTCTCTTGCAAATGCTTCAGCGATTCTAAACCTATTTTCAATTTCCCTCTGAAACTCTGCGGAGTCTGCACTGCTGCACTCCGCAGGCTTCCGGCGATCGTCCTCGTTCAGGTTGCTGTATGAACGCAAGGAGCAATATTCCCTCCTCTCTTCGTTTGCCAAGGACTCCTGGGGGCAGTGGTTGTTGGCTACGGTGCGGGTCACTTCGGGCGGTTGTGTGAAAACATTATTACCTGTGGAATTCAGGCGGCTGCTGCCCATGATGGGATCTTCGATTGGGGTAACTGTCTCCTCTAAATGTGCCGTGTGAAGACGATCGAAGGGAGGCAGTGTATGCTCAGATGCCTCCCCGCTCTTGGAAAGAGGCATGCGATGAGGGTCAGCGTGTCGCTCGGTGACGCCGTAAGCCACGTTGTCGTCACCGACTTCTCTCGGGGAGTACTCTTCCGCAACCAGCGGCGTCTTCACGTCTGCTGGAGGCGCAGGAACTGCTGCGGCTATCGCTTCTACACCGGGGGAGGAGCTGTCTCCTTTTGGTAGCACGGAGTACTGCAGTTGCTTGGCCGCCGCCCCTTCCACCGGCAGTGACGTAGTGGACTCCTCCACGCCGTGCACGGTAAGCAGAGTCTGGCACAAGGCATGCAGCAGGTCCTTCACACCGATATTTGTGAGGGCACTGACCTCATGGTAGACGACGCCCGGGAGCAAATCAAGCAGCTTCGACTGAACATCCAACTGCGTCACGACGTCCGCTGCAGGACTTGTCGAGTTTGTCTCCTTGGAGGTCAGCAAGAGGTCCGTCTTGTTCCCGACCACGACCACGCTGCGCTGGTCCAACTCCTGGTTGTGGTGGGCGGCCCTGTCCAGGTGGGTCGAGAGCAGGGCCTCAAAGCTGCGCCTGTCCGTCACGTCAAATACCACCATCACAGCGGAGGCGTTGCGGTACGTGGTGGCATGTACCGCGGCGTACCGCTCCAACCCCGCTGTGTCCCAAAACTGCAGTCGTACGTGTTGCCCAGGACGCACATTTTGTACCACACGTGAGAAAAAATCAGTGCCGACTGTCGGCGTCACGGACATGCAGGGGTTACCGGCGGCGGGCGATTCCTCCGCCGGCGCTCGGTCCGCAGCCTCCCCGTGCTGCGTGTACGGCACACTCAGCAGCCGATTCACGAGAGATGTTTTGCCAACGCCGTAGTCGCCCACGACGGCGACTTTAAACACAAACTCCCGCTCCTCCAGCGACTCGGTTCCACTGCTGCTGTCGCACGTTGCGGTGGCCGTCTCCGTCGCCCTGGACGCGTGCTCAGAGGCCTTCACAGCACTCATGGCTCGCCACGGTGCACACACGGAGACAAGCGCGCCTGCAGTCTCCCCCTCTCCTCCCCTCCTTTCCGCTGCAACACTAACGGGCAGCCCTGCAACACCGGCGCCTGCACGTCCTGTACGTTCTCCTTATTTCTATTCTTATCTCTGTATCTCACTAGCTCTGCCCGTATGGCCAATGCCCTCTCCCCGGGGAGTGGTGTGGAACGGGAGTCGAAGAGAAAACGTGAACCAAAAAAGAAGAAAAAAAGTGGCAGAAGTGCAAAGAGAGGGACCTTCACGGAGAGCCACGTGTGGGGCTGTCAAGGGACACCAGCAGTCGCGGCGGCGCCCACAACAACCCCCCGAACGGTCTCATCATGCGGCCGCCCAGGGCACATCAGCGCACACCAACGCAGACAAAACTGTGGGAGAAAAATTAACAACAGCAACGGCGAAAACGAAAAAAAAAAAAACAGCAACCAGAAACATATTTCAAAATCCTTCGCGGCGTACAACCTAAATATATATATCTCTTTTTTGAAAGACAAAGATGACCGCCGCCACGATGCGGATGTTACTTGGAGGCTTCCCCATCACCGCAATCAAGCAGTGAAGTGAGAAGAGAAAAGGTGTGTAGATGTGCAGGCACGTGTCCGTCAAAGGCGTAGGCGCTGAAGTCAACCAGGTCACACGAAACCAACACAAAAAAAAACACACACACACAAATAGAAACAAGAAGGAAAGAAAAAGAAAACCAAAAAAAAAACAAATGGGACGATAGATACACAAAACAACAGCAACTGGAATCTGGTGTGAAGACTCGGCACATCGATGTCTTCTGCTAGTGTCATCTTATTCGTTTGTTGTGGATTCTTTGTCTGTGAATCTTCGTGCCACGCAACACCTCTTTCTTTATCTTTCTCTCTCCTTCGCTATTTCTCTCTCTCTCGCTCATTCCTCAAATAAATTACCAGCGTTCTCTCAGTCATTTACGTACTGTCCCCTTCCCACGCATGCCTGCTCGCGGGATGTGTGTACCCCGCCACACACACACACGCACACGTACAGACCTTCTCCATGTACGGCCGTGCCTGAGCAGGTGTGTGGGCCTGTTATTATTGTTTCTCACACGTGTTTCCTTTAAGCACCACCACCACCACCATCACAAATAAAAAAAAACCTTCAATAATTTTTTTAAATTTATTCATCATCTCTCATCACCTCGGTTATTTATTGCCTCCTTACTTCCTACTCCTCTTATCCGCAACTTCAAGAGGAAGCAAAGCCATAGAAGAAGCAGCGGGCAAGCCAAAAAAAAAGATGGTACAAGAAAAAGCCGACACTAATCAACGAAGTTAAAAAAAAAAAAAGACTAACAC